TTCTGAGTTGCTCGGTAAAATGATAATATATGCAACGTTGATATTCGCGTTCTGTATTTATATACGCATTTTATTTTTTATACTATATATGTATATTTTATGAATATAAATATAATATATTTTATATTTTATTTATACTTTATTTTATTATTTTTAAATTGTAATAAAATCTTTTTATACAATGTTAAAAATAAGATATCATATTTTTCTTGACTAGAGCTAAATGTAGTTGGATTTAAATCTTATGCTGAAATTAAACACACAAAAATTTCCTTAGCTTATAATAAAAAGTAGAATAAAAAAAATTTTTAAATGCAGGAAGAAATATTTTAATGTAATGTTTAATGAGAAATGAGAATAGCCTTTGTGGGATAAATTATAAATTATACCACTATCACAAATCTTAATAACATATTCGAGTTATATAAATTAATGATAATAAATTAATGTTTCCACGCTGACTTGCATCGATATATCATATATATGTTTCATAAATCTATAATATACGATTTATTCAAAAATAAAAGTGTCATATATACGGTTTACCTCAAATTTTATATTTTATATATGTCACGGAATTTTTTGTACATTTTATTTATTTCATGTGTGCATTTCTACACATATCAGATATAAAAAATTGAGATAAATCGCACACACTGTTTTTAAAAAAAATATGCTACAAACAGATATAGTTCGAGGGATTGTCCTATTGATTCAAAGGATTATCACGGATTATCACTTATAATATTGCATTGTATATCGATCGCTATGTGCCTATGCTTTGTGCCGATTCTGGTTTATAATCACAGATGAAACGAACAGGTACTTATATATATCGCGCACTAGAGAGATAAATTAATGGCTCGCCTAAACAGCAATGTAATTATGGCGCAGAAACGCAATTTTTGCACGCAATCTAAAGCAACGATATTGAATAATAATTGGAACAATCAATCGCGCTGGAAAATTGGTTGGTAGCGAGTTATCATTTTGCGTGACTGGTTATGTTTCAAGAAGATAATACCTATTCTCTCTAATTTTAAATTGTTAAAATTTTCTATATTAAAGATAAAATCATTTCGTGTAAAAATTAAACAAAAAATAATATAAAAAACATTATTTTTAAAACCAGGAATTTAAGACATACACATTTATTTTTAATAATTTTTTGCTTTTAACAACAATTCATATTCACAATGAATTTTCCTCCGGTTACGGAAATTTCAGTCACGTTCAATAAAACCCTACTTTAAGATTCTATTTTTTTTAATATTAAAACGCGGAGCAAATTTTTGTTCGCGGTTATTTGATACATTAGACGCAAAAGAGTGTTCACTGTTCTCGACACTCACGCGCAATTTTCCACTGAAGTTACAGTCGTCCGGGTACGGTGAAAAAACCCCGTGAAAAAAAGATGAGAGAAAAGAGAGGGAGTGGTGGCGACCCGGTTGCGTCAAGATGGAAGGAACGGAGTGTACATCACGAAGGAGTTGGATCGCGCGAGAGTGTACTCTGTCGTGCGCCGTAATTACGCAGTATTACGAGCGGCGTTACGACGGGGATGTTACGTTAACGCGGTTCGTGTTGTACGTGGCGCGCGCACGCGAATTAAGAAGACGGAATTAAAGCGGAGCTGCAAATTCATTCGTGCGACTGGCTTTACGACGCCGCCGACCGAGATAGAAAACCCTCTTTCACACGAGCAATAATTTGCAACCGTATTTGCGCGACGGAAAAATTTTCGAAATAATTATATTTCTCCAGATTCAAAGTCGCAAGAGAAAAATCAGATCTTTATTTTCAGAAATTTTATCTTTAAGGATGTTTTGTATATATTTTTAAAATATTGAGAATTGAAAATTGTACAGAATGTCCTTACATAGAATAGTTTAGAATCTTTAGTACAATTTTTAAATCAATTCACTAAAGCATTCACAAGTTATAAGAATTTTAATTTGCGCCGAATTGACATGTGTTCTTATGGGAAACACGTCGATTCAAATGACAAAAACACATGGAAATAATTCAGAATTTGTTTAAAATTTGCACCAAAGAGGATATTCGTCAATATTGATTTTCAGCTACTTTTTGCTGGATTTGTACATACAAAAATTTTCATTAAATTCTCAATATTTTGGAAATAGGTACGAAACATCTTAACCTTAAGTCATATTATAATTATTCTTATTAATCTTCTTAAAGATATTTTGTACCTATTTTCAAAATATTGAGAATTTAATGAAAATTGTACAGAATGTTCTTACATATGTTTAGAATCTTCAGTACAATTTTTAAATCGATTCACTAAAGCGTTCACAAGTTATAAGAATTTTAATTTGCGTCGAATTGATATGTGTTCTTATGGGAAACACGTCGATTCAAATGACAAAAACACATGGAAATAATTCAGAATTTGTTTAAAATTTGCACCAAAGAGAATATTCGTCAATATTGATTTTCAGCTACTTTTTGCTGGATTTGTACATACAAAAATTTTCATTAAATTCTCAATATTTTGGAAATAGGTACGAAACATCCTTAAGTCATATTATAATTATTCTTATTAATGTTCTTAAGGATATTTTGTACCTATTTTCAAAATATTGAGAATTTAATGAAAATTGTACAGAATGTCCTTACATATGTTTAGAATCTTCAGTACAATTTTTAAATCGATTCACTAAAGTGTTCACAAGTTATAAGAATTTTAATTTGCACCGAATTAACATGTGTTCTTATGGGAAACATAATCATGTCGATTCAAATGACAAAGACACATGAAAATAATATTCAGAATTTGTTTAAAAATTGCAAAAGTTTAGATACAGAGGAAATATTTGGTCAAATAATATTATACAAGTACTAACTGATTAAAAAGATATTAAATATAATTCAATAAAGTTAGCCATGTATCTGTCACAAGGGGAAATTCTCTGCCAAAAGTTAATCATTTCGATTAACAAAATTCGGAATATTTCAGTAAAAACGCAATAAATATTAAAAAATATATCTCTGCACTGTAGCCAAGATCAAATTATAATATTCCACACAATTTCTTGCTCAAAATACAAAAGTGGATATATTTGTCAATATTGATTTTCAGCTTTGCTGGAATTATACATATCAAAACATCCTTAAAATAGATTGAGAACAGATTTTACATAATTGTATTATTGCACCTGTTGATGGCTTATATAATCGCAAACAATGGAAGAGAAAAAAAGAAAGAGGGAATTTTTTTTTATAAAAATATCTTTTGAATGAAGTTTCAGTAGAAATTCGCGGTGAATTCTGCAGCGAATCGTATAAAACGGGCTTAAGAGACCCGAGAAAAGAAGGGCGCTCGCTCGCCGACTCCTCTAATGCCCGCATATTTCGCGACACGTCGCGTGGAGAGACAGTGACTCAACTCGCGCTACGCGCGATATTTCTCGTGCGCGACGTTTCATGCATACGGCATCGATGACGATTTTTCAGCGGTGTGGCTTTCTCGCTGCTTCACTGACGGATTGATGTACTTGCATTTCGTGCATTTATTATAAAAGATGAAAAAAGATTATTGAAATCTTTGTAAATAAAACCTTTTTTGCGTTTTTTCTCACCACGAACGCGCAAAATCCATCATTATATCGTCTAAAAATTGCCGACGTTCATTAATTATTTTTATTTGCGATAATTTATCAATTAGTAAATTTATCAAATCCCATAGTCAAAATACGTTCAAGATAGCTACAAGGCGCATAATCTTGTATATATAATATTTGTTACAGTTTCAATTTATAATATATGGTGTATTAGGTTACGTTCATCGCGGTCGAATCTTAATTTATGTACATAATTATGTACATGTTATCGCACGCGAGGAAATCTATCGCGAAGCGCGAGTATAATATAAATAATTCCTTCATTTATATAACCCTAAATATGCGAAAACTAAAAGAAAAATTAGTTTATTTATATCACGTAAAGTATCGTCTAATTTTAAACAAATGTTAGAAATACCACATGACGTTTACGAAATGTATATACTTTCTTTTTTTATTCTAATTGTTTTCAAAAAAATGTTTGACTAATCGAAATCAACATTATATTAAAACGAAGGAGAAATTTTGAAGTAATATATGTAAAGATGGCAGTTAAAAATATTTATTCTTTGTAATAAAAGCAATTCTATATAAAAAATGATGACAGGATAATAAATATATGACAGAATAATAAAAATATATTTCACAAGAGATGCTACGCCAAAATGAAAGAGTGATTAACTCCGCATTAATGCGAGCCAGAATTTCACCATCGTATTCTTAAAAGCGTGATCAAGGTCGACTTGGACTTTTCAACGAAAGCAAAAGAGATGAGAGACGTACATTATTCATGACCTTTCGGAGCAGAGAAATTTCGAACGAACACACGCGATCGCCGATTAAAAACGTTTATTTGCCTCGAGTCCTATATGCACGATTCCTGCGGCAAGAAATCGCGAAGGACGAACACGTGCGCGCGCGCGTAGAGGTGAAAGTCTTGACAGAGTAGTTGGAGTACGCGTCGAGTGTCAGCTGACGAAAACGAAGACACGAAGCAACGATACGTCGACAGATATTGTGACACGTCGCGATTAAGATAATATCCCGATCACAAACCGGAAGTAACGAGAAACATTTCCTTTTTTCCTTTACATATATCTATCGTTTCTCGTATTTAAAAAACGATTATTTAAATATTCAAAAAAGTGTAAGAAAAAAATAATATATAAACATTCAAAAAAGTTTAAGTGTAATTTAAATATAACTCTCCAATTGCGTAAGGTATATCCAAAGTGTCCTTGATCGAACGCGTGGCTGTTTCTGATGCATATTAAATATACGTCGATAATGTTAGACATATGAAACGCTCAATGCTCCGAGAAACAGAGTTAAAAGAGGAATTATCGGACAACGACTAATGTCACGTCCGGTGATTCCACGAACATGGGATGACTATGCACAAGATACAAGACTTACCCGATGTAACAGACGCCCGTTCTTCCGCAGTCGATGACAGACTCGCAGGGGAAGGAGAGGTTATGCGTCGCAAGCTCTCGAGAGGACACGGCAATGTCACCAGATCGAAGCACGACGTATCACGGAAGAGGCTTCTATCTGTTTGCACTGTGACATGTTTCTCTTCCGGCGACACACGATCGACTTGGAAAGCCTCTTGACGAAGGGACCGATCAGGCTACCGATGACGAGAGGACGGACAAAAAGAAAAACGATATAGTTCGCACTCGCGCTTATTATCCGAAAAAACGGAGAAGAGAAAAAGAGAGGAGGAAGTAGATGAGAAGAGAGAGAGACGCGACCCGAATTTCCTACCCGATAGCGAACCCGATCGCGCGCGCGTCCCGCTACCACTGGGTGTAGCGCACCGAGCGTAGCATCGCACACTGACTGTTCTCACCGTTCACCAAGGCGATAAACAAACTCACCGCCTTTCCTCTACCACGCCGCGACTCTGCGCACGCTCGCCCTCGTCCCGATCTCCCCGCTCTACCCGCACGATCACTCTCGCTCGCACTCACGCGCACCCCACACGTCGACGGTCCTCCTCGCACTGACGTCGCGCGCGCTCCGCCGTCTTTACCTTGGCCTGCGCACGCATCTCCCCCCCACTCCGTCGCCCGCCAGCCGCTACCGAAACGCTGCTGCGATCTATGTTTCCCGTCTGTCATTAATATATCCACCTACGCTTTATGCACTGTATCGAAATATTATCGTCCGCGTTAGTATTCTCGACCTATTGTTGGTAATATTGTAAAAAAAAGGTATACCGACAGATTTAGCTCTATGTAAAATATTGAGAATTTTATGCTAACAAGCGTAATTATATATCATTACTTGACAGAAGCAACACGAGGGAGAGTTAAAAAGATATATATTGTGATTTGAGACATCATTATGCTTTATATATATATAAAAATAAAAAAGAATGATTTTAAAAATTTGCCTTTATTCTTGTATTGCTTGTTAGAATAATATATAAAATAATTAATGGCGATTCAAAGAGCTTGGTTTATTAATAAGAATGATAAAATGTAATTAAGGCTTGATGGAGTTAAATATATATAGCATATCTAGTGCACTACATTTCACTTCCGTTATACTTTGACGAGAAAAAGATGGCGTAAAATATATAAGTCACGAGATGGAATTTTACAGGCAAATGATCGATATATCAAAATCGTCGTATTGAAATATAATAACATTTGTATTACACAGATTAATACCTTATTTTATGACGATGATTTTTCACGCGAGAGATTAATTTTTACAACACAATCCCGAAAAATACGAAGCGATCCACCCGTCGCGTATCCACAATTAATTGCGACGAAAATCTACTAAATCTACTTAATAGTGGTAATACTGCTTTGAAATATTGGAACGAGTCCTTATTCGTTTAACTTCACATTATAATATTCTGATATTTTTTTTCTAGAGATATTTTCTTTAAATATCAAAAATATACATCGAGAAGAAAAGATAATAAATTAATCGCATAATATATATAATTTACAAATTTTCCAACACTAGATATAAATAAAATATCTTCGAGAAAAGGGAAACAAAGTAATATTTTAACACAAATACAAAGTAGATAATAAGATTATCTTAACATGCTCAATTAATTATTTATTATAGAAGATTTAATTATACTTCATGAGCATGTAGGTTCTTTTTTTTGCGCATTGATATCTTTCTGTTATTATTCTTACTTACTTTGATTATCCGAGGTACATTTCAAAACGTCTTCTCCAAGGAAATTTTGCTCGACGACCGACTCGGAACCAATCAGGAACGATCTGAAGGTTTCGGAACAGTCATCGAGTACAAAATTTTCTTTAGAGTAGATGTTTCGGAAAGTAATTTTAGAGCCACAAAGCATTTGACCAATCGAGACAAAAGAGACAAAGATTTCTTTGTCTTGATTGGTCAGATGTTTCGATCACTAGTAACATCCAATCGGATGCAACTTTATTCTTCTCGCAAGTCTCTAGATTAGTTCGCGACTTGTCCGCTTGTCGGCGACAGCATCGAGAATCTAGGTTAGTGACTTTCTTTCATTTCGCGTTTCGTGTTCCTTCCGATACACAAGCCAACATGGTGCGTATGATAATGCAATATATTCTAATATTAATCCGTAAACGTTGCGACAATCCGCGAAAGCTCGCTAAAAATTAACACACGCTCGTTTCATGTATTATTTACTTGAGCCGAAAATGCAAATATTAATCGATTGAGAACTGTTGTAACAATACGAGGGCTCGCGATTGTAAATTTAGGTTATGTTAGAATTTCGCTCGAGCGATTCACAACAATAGTGCATAAACCGTGCGATTGTGCATCATATAATTAATTCATGTTGTTTTTTTCATAATTTATAGAGTCGTGTCAGAACGAAGACGGTCAAAAAGGCCGCGAAGCTCATTATCGAGAAATATTATCCACGTCTTACTTTGGACTTTCACACGAATAAGAGGATATGCGAGGAAATTGCTATCATTCCCAGCAAATCTTTGCGCAATAAAATTGCCGGGTAAGTACATGATGATTCCATTTCACAGAAACTTATATTATTTCATCAAGTAGCCAATAACCGAATTTGTATAATAGCTTTAATAAAGAAAATAGGATAATTATTTATCATTTTAATATTTAGCATAATAGGTAGAATAATTACCATATTTTCACATAAATTAATTCCTTTAATTCTTATTCCTATAATTTTATATGTTCTCCATTAAGCAATCTTAGGATTCTCAATAATAATAGTATAATAACTGTTATAAATAGCGCAATAGTAGCATCGATATATTTTATATAATATGATAATACAGCTGTCACAGTTTCATTGATTATTTTATAAACGCTTCTTTTTAAAAGACTAAACAAATTTTCAATAATAATAATATAAGTAAGTACTATATATTTTTATTATGCCATTAGATTTGTCACTCACCTGATGAAGAGGCTTAGACACAGTCAGGTACGTGGTATCTCCATCAAGCTTCAGGAGGAAGAGAGGGAACGCAGAGACAACTATGTTCCCGAGGTCTCTGCTTTGGAGCACGACATTATTGAAGTCGATCCCGAGACCAAGGAAATGTTGAAGATGTTAGAGTTCAACAACATCACTGGACTCCAACTAACGCAGCCTGTTCCACAATTCAGCAGACGGACTTAAAGTTCACTCCCTTTCACCTTACGCTATAAACAAAATGGTTGGTCCTGCATTTTTTAAATAAAATTGCAAACCAACACTCACTATTGTACTACTTATCTTTTCCACAACATAAAGTCTTTTATGAACCTTAATCATTAATAATTCCTAATTTTAATAATTAGTAACTATAACACTGTTTTTTTTTCAAGTCATTAAAAGATGTTCATTCATCTGGATATAGTTTTGATTGTAGAAATTTAAAATTTTTTCAATTTATCTGTATAATTTCGATGCGAAATATCGAAAAGAAAGTTGGAAATGATACGATTTACAAATACAAAAAAGGAATGTAAAAAAAGGAGGAACAGCTGAGAGTCGGCGATGCGCGTGCGCTCAGTCCGCCATTTTAATCGCGCTGGAAACTTGCGACAATCGTTAAACCAAAGTATTACGTTTCCGACAAAAACTAATCGTCCTTAATCGTTCGATCGCTATGCGAGGCGTAATCATCGGCATACAAGACTACATTTCATAGATTCGCGTCACACACAGACGTATCATTTGTCGCACATGTGCGCGATCATCAGAACCATCGTTGGTTGCATCGCGTCAATTGATCGAAATCGTGTTTCGTTCTTTTTGCCATTTTGCAGCTCCGGCTTAATGCTTTGCGACCGTCCTAGCCTTTGGTATCGTCGCCGGAGGATTACGTTGCCGTTTCAGAGAACTGGTCCTGCCGGCTCGCGATGTTTCTTACAACGTCGAGCGCGATGACGTACCGAGGAAAGACATAGAAGAGCTACATCCCTGACGCCCCGCATCAACCAGGTGCAGCTCGAGTGTTTCTCGGTACCCGAGCGTGCGTCTCTCTCTCTCTCCCGAGGCTCCGATTATCCGACAATGCCACCCTCTCTACGAGCGGAAAGAAGGGATACGATGCGACATCGAGATAGAGAGACCGCTCTCTCTACAGATTTATCGCTCGTCGAATGCATGTATCTCCGTCCAACGGAGAGCGTCATCAAACTAGACGCCTTTCGTCATACTCCTTCACGCGAATCAGCGGCGTCCTACCAATGTAAATTCGCTCGATAAATTCGCTCTGCGCAAACCCGATAGCTCGCGTCCTCGACGAGGGTCGGCCCTGATGGTCGCGAGGCTGCGCGCGACCTAGCGCGCTCCAAGGCTAGGAGCGACCTAGCGCAACCTCGTCGGAGGAAGCGAGAGGGTGCTAGCGGAAGAAAGGGCGCGACGTGAGAGAGAAAGAGAGGAGGACAGCGAGCGGCGGCTCGGGGGACAGGGACGAGGGCTCGTACACGACCAGCGAGAGTCAGTCGACTATTAGTGGTCTCTGCCTTTGGAGGTGGGCCGGCCACCGCAGACCCGAGCTCGACGCAGCTCGGTCGCGCTCGGTCGGCAGTCGGGCCCAGTCGGCGGCACCGCCGTTCCCTTCGTGTTTATTCGTCGGCCCGTTGGCTCGCTCGCTCTCTCTCTTACGTCGCGCCTCTCGTCAGTACGTCGTAAACCGCGCAACGGGAACGACGCTCGCGCGCTATCTCCGTCTCTCTCTCTCTCTCCTCCGGTTTGTGTTTCGCCCGTTTTCATTTCTTTTTTTCTTTTGATTAAAGGCGACGTAACAGTGTCCTCGCTACCATCGCGCTATGTGACGGATATCACGGGGCACCGTAGTGTGTACCCCGCCTCCTCTACGTATCCGTCTCCCTGGATCTACCCCGTTGGCACTGCTCCGATCCCTCTCACCCTTTACCCGAAACGTCTACCTATCTGCCTACCTTACACCCCGCCTCCCTCCTCCATCTCCTCTCCCCCCGTCCCCCTCCCTCCGCCCTTCCCCGCCTGAGCGATCTTTGTCCAGCGCCCCGTGGAAAAAGAGAAAGACGAACCGCCTCGTGAACACTCGTACGACGACGACGACGACGACGAAAACGGCGAGGCGGCCACGAGGGCCTCGTGGAAAAACGTGCCTGGAGGAAACATGGAGTGCCCGCACCTCGCTCAAGGCGTGCAATTTGGTGATGACAATGTCGAGGGATCGAGCTGTGCCGCCAAGGATTTGCCGTTCGTCTGCGCAGGTAGGGACTCGTACAAAGCCCAAGGAGAGAGAGAAAGAGAGCCTTTTACCGATTCTAAGCCAGCTCGAGCGAGATGGGCAGAAGAAAAAAAAATGTTTGCGCGATGGAGAAAGAGACGGATGGATAGATAGGTAGATAGATAGGTGCAGGGAGCCGGCTCGTCTCTCCTCTCTCCTCTCCTCTCCTCTCCTCTCCTCTCCTCTCCTCTCCTCTCCTCTCCTCTCCTTTCTTTCGCTCGGCTCTGTCTCTTGCTCCGCTTTACTCTCCTCTCTTCCTTTCGCGATTACACGGAACGCTCACACATGTACACGCCCGCAGCTCTCTCTCTCTCTCCCCCTCCCTCCCTCCCTCCCTCCCTCCCCCCCGTCTCTTTCTCTCGCACGCCGTCTCTCGTGCTCCGCTCCTCGCCTACGTTCCATCTCTCTCTCTCTCTCTTTCTTTCTCCTCTCTCTCCTCTTCTCTCTCTCTCTCTTTCTTTCTCCTCTCTCTCCTCTTCTCTCTCTCTCTCTCGTGACCCAGGCCCCGGCCGTTCCTCTCACGGCCTTGAGCCGTCGTAGTCGAGACGAGATGGTGCGAATCTCGGCGCTGTTTCCCTCGGGAAAAGCGCAGACAGGTCGCATGCATATTTTCTCGACGCCGCTATCGTCCGCTATTCTCCGTCTGACGCAACGAACGACCGACGGTATCGCGGATCGAACTCATCGCGCGGCTACGCGTGAGCGTGTGTGTGCGCGCGTTCACACGCACACCGTCACGCGTACGCTCTCTTTCTCCCTCGCTCTCTTTCCGAGCGATGTGCACGCGTGAGATGCGAGCGAGCGTGCAAGTGATATAACGTCATCTCGTAGGTGTACGTTCGTATACATATATATATATATATGTGTGTGTGTGTGTGTGTGTGTGTGTATGTGTGTGCGCCTGTCTCGTACAGCATGTTCGCGGTCCCATGGCTCGTTCCGCGCGCGAGAGCGCGACGGCGGCGTGGTTGGCGGTGGTAGAGGTGGTGGAGGTGGCAGCGGTGATGGTGGTGGTGGTGACGGTAGTGATGGTGATGGTGGTGTGCGCGTGTGCATCGTCGTCGTTGTCCTGCTGGGAGTTCTCAGTATGCGACGCGCGGCCGTCATTGGAAAATCAATACCAGACAGCACTAATCAGCTGGCCCTAAAATACATTGTCATTAGAATTCGCCGGCGAACTGACGCTCCGTCGTCTTCAATCCTCTTCGAGACGACTCTTGCGATCCTCTCTTCTCTTCCTCCCGCGAGACGGTTCCTCGTCTGAATTTCGCGACGCCGAGAAGATCGGAAATACGAAAATATATCGTAAAATAGGGAAAGAGCTTGGACCGATCGAAACATCGATGTCGATTTTGCGGTCTGGAGAAAAGAAGGGGCTGCCGGTGACGGATATAGGATTCTCGTCCTTCGAGTCAGACAGTGACATTGGTCGTGCTCGCTGCGAGTTATCGATTTAAAGATACACGGGCAACGGTCATTACAGGGGGATACTATAGAGACACGGGGTCCGTTGCCATAAACATTGATTAAAATTAATCGAGTTTCAATCGATCCCCTCTCTATATCTCTCCAGTGGATTTTTTCAAGTATTGTTTAGCGGAAAAACAGGGAGTTGCGCTGAGAAAAATCGTTGGATTGTATATGATTGAAGGCATTTTGGTTAAATCAAACAAGAATTTCTAGTTTTCATGATAAGACTAAAATAAATAAGATTAAAATGAATCGAGTTTTAATCGACCCCCTCTCTATATCTCTCCAGTGGATTTTTTCAAGTATTGTTTAGCGGAAAAACAGGGAGTTGCGCTGAGAAAAATTGTTGGATTGTATATGATTGAAAGCATTTTGGTTAAATCAAACAAGAATTTCTAGTTATCATGATAAGACTAAAATAAATAAGATTAAAATTAATCGAGTTTCAATCGACCTCCCTCTCTCTATCTCTCTAGTGGATTTTTTCAAATATTGTTTAGCGGAAAAACAGGGAGTCGCACTGAGAAAAATCGTTGGATTGTACCAAGACGTATATGATTGAAGGCATTTTGGTTAAATCAAACAAGAATTTCTAGTTTTCATGATAAGACTCGATTTTTTATAACTAGAACATTTAATAGATTTTATTATAAGGATTTGATTAGTATTTTCTGGTTGAATCAATACAATTTCTTGTTGCATTAACTTCTTTGCTGGAATTCAAAATATTAAACAGACTTTTGAGATTAGATGGACAAAATTTTAGACGACTTGGTATTGGCGAGTTTAGTATTATTAACCAGAAAATTTGGTAAATTTTACAAAAAGAAATTAATCAGATTCATCTGGTAATTCCTACAAGAATTCTGGTTCGTCCATTTTCCAATAGACATACTGGTTGAATCCAAAATTCTAATTAATGCAACCAGATTTTTTTCTCAGTGCACTGTTTATCAGTTTAATTTCTAACAAACTGCATTTAAAATAATTTATTCAATAATCTGAATTAAATTTATCCAATAATCGTGTTGGAATTCAGAATATTAAATAGATTTTTGCGATTAAATGGAAAAAATTTTAGACGACTTGGTGCTGGTGAGTTTAGTATTATTAACCAGAAAATTTGGTAAATTTTACAGAAAGAAATTAATCAGATTCATCTGGTAATTCCTACAAGAATTCTGGTTCGTCCATTTTCCAACAGACGTACTGGTTGAATCCAAAATTCTAATTAATGTAACCAGATTTTTTTCTCAGTGCACTGTCAGTTTGATTTCTAACAAACTGAATTTAAAATAATTTATTCAATAATCTGAATTAAATTTATCCAATAATCGTGTTGGAATTCAGAATATTAAACAGATTTTTGCGATTAGATGGAAACAATTTTAGACGACTTGGTGCTGGTGAGTTTAGTATTATTGACCAGAAAATTTGGTAAATTTCACAGGAAGAAATTAATCAGATTCATCTGATAATTCCTACAAGAATTCTGATTCGTCCATTTTCCAACAGACATACTGGTCGAATCTATCAGAATTCTAATGAATGCAACCAGATTTCTTTTCAGTGCGTCAAAGTGTCATTAGCATTAGACGACATTGCGAAACAATGATTCAGCGGAGCCGAAAACACAATAACTCGCGTTATCATCGCAGGCAGTCAGTCAGTTTCTAGATTACAGAACTCGGAGCAGCGGATAAGTGTTATCGCTGACCGCGCGAGTCCGCGTTAAAGTGACGGCTTTTACGAGACAATGCACGACTCGACGGAGACTGGAAGAGGGGTGGGGGAGAAAGGAGAGCAGACGGACGACGGCGATCGTTCGAGAAGAGCAAGCCGCCCTCGGAGGCCGTGAAATCCACGGTGATGGCCACGACCGACGAGAGAGAAAAAGAGAGACAAAGAGAGACAGAGGAGGGCTCGTTATTCCCCGAATCCTGGTGCAATCCTCTCCGCGCTTCTCTCTCGCGTCGGAGCTCCTTCCTTTCTCTTTACGCGACCTCGGGACTATATTTATCCGAAACGTACGTGTTTTTTCTTCCCTTACGCATTTACCGCTCTCCTACCTCCTATCCCCTGCGCCTACTCCCCTCTTTGTCCTGAAACCCCCATAGATCGGCGTGATCGAAAGCAAAGTACGCCAACGACTCCATCCGAGTAAGCTAATTCCGTTCGATGATTCGCGCCTCTTGCCTTCGTGATACCGTCGATATCTTATGTAAGTCGATACCTGGCATCGTTTGCGATGTCTGCTCTTAGAGTGAAATATTATTTTTCCCTCTCTTTCCTTTTTTTTTTTTCATTTTTTTCTACCTCAGATCTCCCGTCTAATTAGACGCAGACAAGAAATTTGATTGATTACAGTTGCTAAGGACGAATTATTTGCTTATTTTTTAAATCAGAAAAAATGATGACTGTATCTCTGATTAATCAAAGCTCAAGTAAAGAAATAATAAAAATACTAGCTTATTTCTCGACCATAAAAAAAAATACAAAATATAATCATAAAAAAATTTATATAATCTTATATACTTTTCCGTATTAAGATAATCAGTCTAAAGCAAACGTAATCAGTTTCGATCGAATCTTTCTCATTTATTACGCGCGATCGATCTCGTCGAGTCGATTATTACAACTTTTTCAACGGAAATAGGACCAGAAATGGACAAGTAATACATAACTGGCTATTTAATTCGCGACCGGCTTTCGTACCACGGTTGCAATTCTCAAGCCAGTCGCTCGTTACGAGTCGTGGTGCCATCGTCTTTCTTCTCGCCGCGAAATGGCAGGGAGGGGGAATCGGTAGGAAGCGTAACAGTCGGCGCAAAAGAAACAGGCTGCCATCAATTTCGGGCGTGGGCAACGAAGAGAAACGTAGATCGAGAAACGACTCTGCAGAGTCCGATGACATCAGAGCAAGTTTTCTGGTTAACGTCCAACTTTTAGCATTTTGACAATTAACCGTACCATTTTTAATTACGTTTAAATCAGCTTTTGAAATATTTTTCAGTGTGCAAATTGCACACACCGAAAAATTGCAGCGCAATGCAAATGTGAAACAGTAAGGATTAAACGTTGTATCAAAAATCTGTGGTATATTTCCGTCGAGCTTCGTGTGAGCTTCGATATTTCTCGAACGATATAAAAAAAGTCTTTTCGATTTATTCGTAGATAGGTATAAATTGCAAATACGATTATTCCTTTTTTTCGTAAATTATCATAATAAAAGGAACAGCATTATATTGAAATAGACAAAAATTAAAGAACTAATATGCGAGTATTTTATCATTGTTCAATAAAAAAATGCTGCAACTTCGATTAATGTAACCATGATAAATCGACGATGCGTAACAAATACCAATCAAGTTTTATCTTAAATGGGAACAGTTATCTATTAGTTAATGGAAAAATAGAGAGAAAGCGAGAGAGGAGAAATGAACTCCCAAATGTCCGGTTACATGCATCAACAATAGTCTCACGTTCTCTTATTCATACCGATTTTTTCCTACATCAGTAACTTTGAAGGAAGGAAGATGCTCGTCTATTATTATGTTTATCAGATGAATGAAGAATAGCTGTTCATTGTTGATATTTTAAATCCTGATACGAGGAACTAGTATATTGTGGAGATTTATCAAAACTTTAGAGATATTTAATATCTGATAGACACAATAAATAACACATATATATAATACAAATAATAGAGGAGAGGGATACGTCACTGGCAATGACTCAGTATCCCGACGAATGGATGGATGGACGGACGGACGGATGGATGGATGGATGGACGAACGTGTACTTTCCTCTTCGCGAATATTTGATTACTCAACACGATGCTATCGGCGATAGTCGCTGTATCTGTAATGCTTTCGGCGATCTGTTGCCATGGCCATCTGCCAAGGATGGCCATCGACACGTAGATATAAAAAAAGTATTGATTCCAAAATCAAGTTCTTTTTATTTCACCTTTAATGTAGGGATTTGCAAATTCCTTGAAGTTGCACCTACATCTGTGAAATTATTCAAAGAATAATGATACAAATTTTAATTTTTATTAATAATTATCAGAAATGTGTGTGTTATTATTTTTAATTTCTATTCTCACAATTTTATCGTAAAAATGATTCGCGTAATATTTCAGATTTCCATCTTTCATGTGTGATTTCTATTCATCCCTACACTGAGGAAAAAATTTTTTTGAATCAAATAAATTTGTTTTCTTGAAACTTTTGCTCTAAATGGAAGGAATTGTTTATTTCATTTAAGCAAAAGCATTTAATTTTAATTAAATATGTATGCTATATTAAGTACATTATTTTCATTTATATATTTTTTATATTTAAATACTATTTTCGTAAAATATATACCATAATTTATTAAATTAAATATATTATTTTTTTAAATTAAAAAATGTAAAATTTTTGGAAATAAAAAATGTCTTAATAAATATTTTGTAAAATTAAAATATAAAAATACTTAATTAAAAATTATATTTTCTTAAGCATATATATATTTATAAACATATATAAATAAATACTTAACTTAAGCAAAGTAGCAAATAGCTTAAGTAGCTTTCTTGAGTTAACTAAAATTTTTTTATTTCAAGATAATTTTTTCCTCAGTATACAAAACTTTCGATATCGTATCGTGATTTATATTTTTTGACGATGCAATATTTATCTTCATTTCCAATTATATAAATTCACTAATATCGCTTAATAGCAAACATTTATTCGTTGTAACGTCAAAGATTATGAATTTCGATGAGCAAAAAGCATCGAGAGCTTTTGAGAAATTTCCTCATCGTATCTCATCTCGAGAAGACACGTCAACGAGGACATCGCGTCACGATTAGCGTTGATTAGCGTCGCGAGAAGCCGGGCGAGAGAGCGGTTCATGCTCGGCGAATCGCGACGTATCCGGCGGCGGATCGATTTAAATACCTCGGCGAAATCGCGTCGCGGAGGTGTGCGCTCCCCGCGCCGGCTGAGCGCGAGTGAGAGAGCGAGAGAGAGAGAGAGATAGAAATGGAGAGAGAGAGAGAGAAAAGTATCGCCCCTTACGCACTATAAAAGGACCCTCGCGTCCGCGCCGCCGCCCCTCTTCCGCCGCCGCTTTTCCTGCGCTCCGCTGCTGTTGCTGCGCCGGCTGCTGTTGCTAGTGCTGGCTGCATGCCTTCGACTACGGCATTGCAAAATCGATAATCGCGCCGTTGCTAATCCGATAGCTCGTTGCGAGAGAGCGGGGACGCTTATTACTTCGATACCGTTCTCCTAGCGCGGATACTTTGCTCGTGATATCGAACACCTCTTTGACATTGACAGCTTGTCTTTTTTATGACGGATATATTGGCGTTGATAAGCCTTCTAGCCTATCGGATGGTACGCGTAGGTGTGTTAAAAAATATTAATAATTCTTTCGAGATAACATTTTTGCATGACGCGGAAAGAAATATGCGATAAGATTTTGTATACATGAAATTGTGACTTGTACTCTCTCTCACGCAGCTATAAAATCTTCAGAGGGAAATGTCATGGTTTATTTCAGCCACGATAATTTTTAATAACTTATGCATTTAATGTATAAGGGAATATTTAAAGATTTATATCATTTTACTTAAAATTATCTTAAGGATGTTTTGTATGTACAATCCCAGCAAAAAGTAGCTGAAAATCAATATTGACGAATATATCCACTTTTGGTATATTTTGAGTATGAGAAATTGTGTGGAATATTACAATTTGATCTTGAGCATTTTTTAATATTTATTGCATTTTTACTGTTGAAACATTCCGAATTTTATTAATCGAAATGATTAACTTTTGGCAGAGAATTTCGCCTTGTGACAGATACATGGCTACACAGAGAAAAATATCATTCTACTGTCAAGGAAAGCGATTACTCAGTTTACTTTTCTTTTTTTAAGTAATAGTTTTCTTCAACAAAGAATATATTCTTGATAACAATCTTAAAATATATTCATCACAAATATTAGAAAATCTAGTTATCATGTATTTCAAAGAAGAATTTATTTTCTCTTCAAGAATATTGTAAAGTTGTATCAAAGAAAAATTAAACTTTCTTTACGTCAACTCTTGTAGCAAGCAAATCAAATTTTTGTTTTTTAATTTAATTTTTAATTTAATATTCTTGACTAAAATACTGCACTTACTAAAATTCAGAATATATTCAATTAAATTTAATGCTTGTGGTAAACTTATAATATATTTGCGGATATACAAACTTATGATATACTTAAAATAAATAATATTTACTTCAATACAGTATACATTTTTCTTTGTGTAACTTCATTAAATTATATTTAATATCTTTTTAACCAGTCAGTATAGTTATATAATATTATTTGATCAAATATTTCCTCTGTATCTAAACTTTCGCAAATTTTAAACAAACTCTGAATATTATTTCCACGTGTTTTTGTCATTTGAATCGACGTGGTTATACATTTCCCATAAGAACACATGTTAATTCGGTGCAAATTAAAATCCTTGTGAACGCTTTAGTGAATCGATTTAAAAATTATACTGAAGATTCTAAACATATGTAAGGACATTCTTTACAATTTTCATTAAATTCTCAATATTTTGAAAATAGCTACAAAACATCCTTAAAATAAAAATAAGGAAAAATAATTCAGTCATAAGGATATTAATTGCATACTAGCATTATATAATTGCCTCTTCGTAAAATTGCTTCATAAAATTTTTGAAAATTTTACTTAATTTCCTCTTTAAACATTTACAGAAGCAACTAGAATTTGAATGGGCAATTTTTGACAATAAATTGGGGTATCGATACCTGACTCTAAATTATCATGCCATCATCAGCAAAGTTTTCTCCTTTTCACTCTCTTAATCATCACTCGCGACACCACTTTTCTGATCGTCGACGAGATAATATCGTCGATTTCGGGTGATAGCGGTGATGACATCGTTGATGTAGGCAGAATCGAGCGAGTCGAAGAAACAAGACGAGGAAAAAATTTGCTTGATATACTCGTTCCTTCGAGCACGCATGAATATTTCCTCCTGCTTATACTTTAACGGTATTTCGCGACTATTAAAACATATTCTCCTGCAATTCTCGTTTTCCTGGTTCATCATCGCCGATGCACGTTCCTTTAATTTCGCGCGCTGATGTAACATTCCTGAAAATACATAAGCTTGAAACTTAATCAGCGTCTCTCTTGAAGATCGTCATCGGTGATTTGAGAACAAAAAAAGACGCAGAATATGTGTTTGCGACACGTATGTCGTCTCTCCTCGGCGTATATCATATTTCCATCTTCGGCTCTTTCCTTACAGAGACCTTACCTTTCCTCGTATATATTCATAAAGTTATAAATGATTCTCGAAAGAGTTTATCGCGAAAAATTTTTTGTTATGTATTTTTTGTTTTTTGTTATGTTATTGAAAAAAAATTTAGAAATTTTAATTTAATATGAATTTTAAATTTAATAAATTTAAGTTTTTTGAAAATATACATATAGGAGGAATGAAAAATTTTTATTTAACTTCGATCGTTCAATAGAATGTTTTTACGTATGCATACAGTATATCTCAGATTGAATTTTTCTTTAAAGAAAGATTTTTTATCGAATTTATCATTTTTTTAAAAAAATACTTCAGGAAAATATACCACATGTACTTTTATTGTATTTTTTTTAATATATAATATTTTTAATATATTTGTTCGCAACTTTCGAAAATAATGTGAAGAAATAATGTCAATTTAAAGCTAAATAAGTAATAAGACATTATTTAATCACTTCCCTCTTGTATTCGATGTCGTTATATTGCGACAAACATTATCATCGTAATAACTGTTATTCTGACGATCCACGAGGAACATCCGCGTACTCGAGAATCTACTAGACCGTTTCATTGAGCAGGCGGACATTGAATGAATGAACAAATGCCGTTGTACGAACGTCATGTATACGATTGGCTGTGAAAATTTATGTATTTTTCGACCGATTCCTTGTGACGTATATGCATTATCTTGCGAAAGAAAATTAAATATTCAAAGTTGTTTCCAACTCGCGTTAGTATATTTCATGTATCTTAAAATAGTAAACAATGTTAATAGTGCTAAACAAACTTTTTTTCTTAGTTTATTCTCACATGTAATGTTAAATTTTGATATTATACATTTCGATATTTATTAATTCATATATTGCTCGATTAATTGATTTTACTCAGCGAACTGCAGTTTTATTTTATTTTTATTTTGTTTACATTTTATTTACTCTTCTCTCTCTCTCTCTCTTATGTATATTATATATATATATAAATATTAAAAAAAAATATATAAAAAATATATTTAAAAAAATATATATATATATATATATTTTTTTTTTATTTTTATAATTTACAAGATAATAAAGACAGTTTAGATATAAAGAAAATTTAAAATTAACATATATCAATATATGTTGGATTACATCATTAATGTTGCACAATGAATATTAAAGATTTGATAGAAATGTTTGCATCTATGCTTAGCTATATAATTTACTGCATTAATGTAAGTTTGTCATATTAAACAGCTTCGTCAATGCACTATTAACTTATAAGAATCCGCTTTTCGTTTTTGATATAATCCTAAGAGAATGATTTTAAGTTATTATACATTTTTTTGTAACAGCATATTTTAAAAGTGAACGTTTGAATAATGAAAATTTTATAAGTTTACTAATTTGTCGAAAAGTATAAAACTGTTTTATAAAGACGCTATTTATCGTTTTTATTATGTTTTTATATTGACAAATAAATATATAGCGATGAAAAAAAGAACCTTTTTTTCTACCAATCTCTAAGAAAAATTTACGTGAACTAAAAACTCTCAGACATTCTTTCCTACTTTTTGCCAGGAGATTCTCATGGCAACGAGTCACTGATTAAAACATGCCGATAGAGCACTAGGTGTGTTTTAAGGCTTCCTTACATCGGCACGCCGAAAACGAACACGACGTCTCAGATAGGAACGACCTTCGACGAGATCGGATTTCCGTGCACGGACTTTTGGCCGTTTCACTTTTCACGTGTTCGCGTTTTTTAACCTTCATCTAGAAATGTCCCCCTTCTCTCGGTCTCCATGCCGTATAAGATTACGCCGTTGTTCGCGAATGCTGGATAATCGGTCGCCTTGAGAAGAATAGGGGAGAGAGAGAGAGAGAGAGAGAGAGAGAGAGAGAGAGAGAGAAAGGAGGAGAGAGAGGGAGAGAGAGAGAGAGATATCACGTGCCTATTATATAGTTTTCGACACGAATTCGTGAATTCGTCTGTATATGCTTTGCATATTTGTAAACCGATGACGAATTTACTCTTTCCCATCAGTTGATTCAAGCTATGTAGCTATGGATGTATTCCTCTCGTTAATCATTTTATTGTACATGTGATAATTATATCATTAATTATTTATATTTTCGTTAATTATTTATATCGTTTTTTTATTCAACTCTAATGCAAATTCTTTTCTTACGGAATGTTTATCGAAAGGAATGGACAAGCTTATCTTTAAATCTTGAAATTATTTATTTTCAATTCTCGCACTCGAATCTCTTTCATCAAGCTTGTGTAAAATTCAATAATTCAAAGTTTCTCGTCCCCTGTCGCTTTTGGCGCCTTGATTAACACCATGTTTTCTGTGAGAGGATTTCGAGTGGTCGAAAAAAAAGAAAAAGAAAAAAGAAAAAAAGAATCGCCGGGAATCCGAAGCCCGATGGAATTCCGAGACATTTCGCGATCGATCGACTGCGAAGGGGGTGTGTCGAACCCCCACTCGCCACCGCACCCCTCTTTTACGCGCTCTCTCGAGAATTACGTAAGCTGAGACGAGCCGAAACGCGGCGGGGCCGACTCGTAATTTCGCAACCGCCAGATATATTATACCCTGCGACTGGATGGTTGTCGATTGGTTCGTGCCAGATTGTCGAAAATCACTCTGAGAAAAAAAATATATCGTGCATTGGAAGTCGGTATCATCCGCATATGCATCATTATTGCACAGCCCACTTAATATTAAAGCTGTCTATTGCGATAGATTCTGCAAAGAATCGAATTGTATGAAGGAATAAAAATATAATATAACTGTATTTAATGTTAAAGATGTGCGATATGAATACAAATTGATGTGACTGATGACAAGAATCGAATATGACCATAATTGATATTAATATTTTTCCTGCATGTTTTTTTTTTAATCTTGCGTGGAATGTCATTGCCAGTGCACATAAACATATTAATATCGAATAAATTATTGTAAATTAATCGAATCTGTATATATATTTCCATTTATATTCTTATCAATAATCTTTTTAAAAGGCCACGTTCTTTTATCATCCAGGAAAGAAACAACTATACTTTTTTTTTAGATATATGAACAAAATATGTGAATTTATTTGGTAGCGAATGAATAAGAATATACATATATGTATATCATCTCACAGTATATAATATATATACTCTTTTCTCTCTTTTACATTAAAATTATATTTATATAGTATATTTATTACTATATTTTTTAAATTATATTTACATATTTTTATTATATTTTTAATTATATTTATATTATATTATATTTAATTATATATTTATATTATATTATATTTAATTATATTTAACTATATTTATTACTATATTTATAATTAAAATTATATTTATATACAATATTTTTTAAATTATATTTATATATTTTTCTTATATTTTTAATAATATTTACATCTATATTTATATACATCTTGAAACATTTTTAAATTAAAGCTTGATAAGTTTCTTTCTCGAACGCGATACTTGTCGATACTTTTATTGCTAATAACACAGTTCGTCGAGCTTATTCCGTTACTATTGTCATTAACGTATCGTGTTATTATCGTGCACAGTGTGCGGCACCGAGAAGAGTCCCTGGCTCTGTCTGCACTGCGGGACCGTGCATTGCGGCCGATACGTGGCGGGCCATGCGTTGCAACACTACGAGACTAATACTCAACACTGCGTGTGCATAGACTGTGAGAGCCTGGCAGTATTCTGGTGAGTGCGCCCTCCCTCCTCCTTCTCCCCCTTCGCTTTCACCGCCCTCGCGTGTGCTACTGTCTGCGCGTACATCCCTTCCCCCTTCCTCTCCCCCGTATACTTTGTGTATAAGCCGGTATAATTTCGGCGAGCTAAATTCTCGAAACGAGACACGCGAAAATATGCCTCACATCAGTGTATCGTCGCACAGAAAAAAAAATAAGTGTCAAATCTTAAATACTTAAACTAACGTGTTCATTGTTTCGTACACTGGGTGTATCTTAAAAAGTTCCCACTAGGCAAATAGCGTTATTTCTGATTAAAAACAGAGTCGAAAAGTCCTGAACCATTCTTTTTTCCAAGATTCATTAAATAATTAATCAGATTTAAGTATTAAAAAGATTTCTGAAAAGATGAATTGTTTAAAAATTAACACAAAACAGTTTATTTTTTTGCTTATCTAAATCTTCATATGTTGATAACGAGGAAGTTTGTTCTTTTTATTGGCGCGACTTTACTCATTAATTACTGCTTTATTAAGCATTATGAAAAAAATGATTCAGGACTTTTCGACTCGGTTTTTAATCAAGAATAACGCTATTTGCTTAGTGGGAGCTTTTTAAGATACACCCTGTATACGCAATAATTTATAATCTTCTTAGAAGAATTCAATTATTTTAAATTTCAACAATATTATCGTTTTATTTTAATATTATAATTGTCACCTCAAGAATATATAATTATTTAATTCTACTTTAAGAAAATTATAATCTTTGATTTAAAAATATTATTTTCCATCCAACATTGTTTCTTTTCCATTCAAGAAAATAAATTTTAAATCATGAGGATATATTATTCTCGATTGAACTATATAAAATGGCTTTATTTAAGTAAGCAGTTATTCAAGCAATTATATTTTCCTTAAATTAACGCGATATAATCTCATTTCAAGATTTCCATGTTAAAACTAAATATATTTTCAAGACAAGAATGTCCTTTTTTTCTGTGCGTGCTTTCATATCATGTCAACGAATAAATCTATTCATTGTTACTGAAGCGTAGATGATGTCTTTTTTTTTAAATTTCGTACACCGTGTATTATTGAAAGAGCTCGCCGATGTTATATCGATTCTTACCGGAAATGCTACATTGTACCTCGTTTCTTGTAGTTACACCTGCGACGAGTACGTGGTGAACGACACCACGAGCGGGCAGATCGAGAAGATACGTCGCGTCACCTTCCGCAAAGACGAGCATAAAGAAAATGACGAGAGCTGGAGCACGTCGCCACCCGCGACACCGCCGTCCTCGCGGACGCGCGACAACGGGGGCGATCATGACAACGATCCGGACGCCCTGTGGAAAGCGGAAGTGGTCGTGAGAAACCTGCGGCCGAGGACGGCGCGCAAGAGGCTACACTCGCTGGACGCCAGCAGTGCGGACAATCGGCCAGCCAAACGCCGTAGCTCCAAGAGTACCAAAGAGAAGAAGGTCGTCGGGCTGAGAAATCTCGGTAACACCTGTTTCATGAACGTGGTGCTGCAGTCCTTCAACAACATTAGCCACTTCTGCGAGTACCTCACGCAGATGCCGTGTCTCGAGGGCATCGCGTTCGACGAGTCCACGGGACCACCCACGCATCGCGGTCGAATCGTTACGCCGGGTCGTGCCAAGGAGATGTCCATGAGCGACGCCTTACTTGCCGAGGAACTCCGAAAAGTGCTGCTCGGATTGAGCCTGGGTGGCTCCAATGGCCAGGCCATATCGCCCGAGTGCCTGTTTCTGGCCATTTGGAAGGTCGTGCCGAGATTTCGGGGCTACCAGCAGCAGGACGCCCACGAATTTCTCACCTACATGCTCGACCGACTCCATACCGAACTGTTGCAGCTGCTGCCGAGGCTGGGACACGAGCCTTTGGGATTGCGCGGCAAACAAAGCATCGTCACTGCTGTGTTTGGAGGCACTCTTCTCAGCGTGGTAAGTTGACTCAGCTCGACCCTAGACAGAGAGCCTCGATTGCGCGCGAAACGTGCCGTCCTTGCAGCCTATTTGGCAGGAGGGAATTTCTGCGCTCTCGAGAAACCGATGTCGCTTGTCAAAGTCACGTTCTTCTTCGTTTTCTTCTTGGGAGAAGCGCGGACGAATTATGGATCGCGTTTCCTCGCGCAGGTTCACTGTATGAACTGTCGTACGGACTCGAAGACGCACGAGCCCTTCCAGGACCTCTCGCTGGACATACCGGACAGGCTACAGAGGAGTAGGACGAAGGAGCAGGAGGAAGTATGCAGTCTGACTTACAGTTTGACAAAATTCTTCAAGGTGGAGGAGTTGGCCGACAGCGAGCTCTACTTCTGCGACAATTGCATGGGCAAGCAGAGGTCTACCAAGAGGTTCTGGATACACAGGCTGCCTAACGTGAGTATCACTCTCGTGTTTTTGAGGGAGAATTATTGTGCCATTCAGTAAGAATAGAATTTCATGAGAAAGTGTCATTTCAAATTTTCTTTTTAGAAATTTAGAATCAAGATTTAGAAATTATGTATTTATTCGAGCTAAAATTTTTTTTATATTCAATTTATATATTTTATATTTTTACACCTTATATTCTTCTACCATTTTCTCTGATGTATCGATTTTTTGATATTGTTCTAATTTTACTGCACGGCAATGCATTCGTAGACATGCGTGTCTCGGTCGATATAGTTTGCACGAACAAGGGTGACCTCAAAAGCGAACTTTGAATAGAGAAATACACATCCGAACATAGGACGAACAGCGATCGATGCTCATGTTATTTACGCTCGCTCTTTCCAGGTGTTGTGCCTTCACATTAAAAGATTTAGGTGGTGCAATTCCTATCGCTCGAAGGTGGACACGCAGGTGGATTTCCCGATGGAGTCTCTCGATATGTCTGCGTTCACAGTGCGCGGCATGACCGGGACGAGATTGGGCGCTCAGAATAGTCATCTCTACGACTTGGCTGCCGTTATCGTGCACCATGGTTCTGGGTATGCTCTCCCTTAAATACATGCTCTTAATTAAAATAAATTATTTTACGAGGAGAACATGTATGGGAATTTTTCTCAGTAGCAACTATTGTGCGATACCGATATTTGATAAGATAATACTGCATTGTTCGTTACGTTTATAATCTACACTTGGAAATAATATCTCCAGCGTTTCTCAATAATTGCTAATTGTATTGATATTTGTGAGCGCATTTTTAATTTTTAAAGAAAATCGAGAAATCCTTCAAGTGTATATTTAAGTTTACATTGCGCTATTTCACCAATCATTACATCACGCAATTGTATGTTATATTATAGATATTTTAATCTTTAGATACATGTGTCATAAAAATTTCCATAGCTTTAAGGAAAAGAGTTTGATAAAAATGTGACGCGGAGAATTTGATATTAAAACTTGTGTTACAGTGCCGGTACTGGACATTACACTGCCTTTGCTGTGCATGACGGTCAGTGGTTCCATTTCAACGACAGCTCCGTACGTCCGGCGACTACCGATGCTGTCGCTAAATGTAAGCCTTACATTCTGTTCTACGTGCGGAGAGAGTTCTCCATTCCGCCCCCATTGTGACGTCGTTTCTCCGACAAGAAGCCCCGTCCTGGCAGTGCGAGCCTCGACGACGATGACGATGATGTGGACGTGGAGCGAACGAAAGAGGACTGAGCGAACGTTCCTTGCGAATCTCGCGAACAAGCAAGCGGAAAGAACAAGAGATCACCGTATCGCTCCTCGAGCGCCTCGAGATCGAAAGACGAAGATTCGTCCGCTTATCGCATATATTAATGATTGCTCATCGTTGCCAAATCGTACAATCTCGTTGAAAGCGTAATTCGTCTGCGTTCGTTATCGCGTCTTGACAAACAACGACCTTTGAGACGCGATTAGGATAACCGGTTATAAATAATAATCGCTCCGCACATAAGTCGCTTGAACGCATCGCGTTCCTCCTTATGCTTTATCAGACGTGATAAAGATAATTCGCGCAACTCTCGAATGTCTGCGAAAAAGATTGTCAGTATGCAAGTGTACGTATCGCGTCACAGATTATTCTTGCAATCTTTCCCATCACATTTGTTTCTTTTTTTGTTATCGAAAGTACTATGGCCTTTCTATTCCATCGTTTTAGAGGAATAGAGCAATTTTCTTTTTTTCAGATTGCATTTTTTTCGTTTCTCAATAAAGTGATCAAGTGATAGAAAAATGTTTTCATATTGAAATTCCAATGTAAAAAGCTCTCGTGCTTTTGCGAACTTATTTATTTTTATCTAAAGTTCATTTACTTGACGCACTTGAATGAGCATCGAATCGTACTATACAAGTTACTCGTTAAAAAAAGCAAGATGCGGAGAAGGCGAAAAGGCGAGAGCGAGCGTTACGATGTATGATTGATGCCGGACACGCATGCGTATCGTGTCAATGTACGTAGCACGCATGCGGTCACACGTGTACGTGGAGGTGCGCGATTGTATGCGAAGCGTGTGCTGGCGGGCGAAGCTTCTCTTCCTTTCTCGGTAATGGCTGAAGGAAGAAGAAAAGAGAAAGAAAGACAGACGGAGAGAGGAAAAGAAGGAAAGATGGATGGCAGCGCTCGAGGTGAATCGCGGAAACGCATTGCCTTTAGCGTCGATTTTCTTACTTTACGCTCTTACGCGGCGGCGGCCGTCAAACCGCCCTTCCCCCTCCCCCTCCCCCCGCCCCTATCCTTGGTCGGATCGATTAAAGCCCTCCTCGATAGCGGAATAATCGCGTTCCTCGTGTGTAGTTTCTAAAACGCGAAAACGACTGGTCTTCTCGGTAGATAGATCTTTTTCTAGGCTTAGCGCACGCGGCATCGTTGTTTCGAGGGAGCTGATGAAGCAAATACCGTATAGGGCCAACACAGCGTTACTTCTCAAGCGACAGCCTCCTTCTATTCTCCCTTTCCCGTCTCCCAGATCCGTGTCTCGTTCCTCTCTGCGTTCCTTCGTCGTACATGCGTTGTACATCCCATATATACTCACGCACGCATACACACGCGCAACGTATATGTGTTGATGCACGTGTACATACGTGTACATGCATGAATGTCACGCGTCCAGGTCCTTTTATCCTTTCCCCTTCCCCGCTCCTCGATTCCTCTTCCTCTCACGAAAGGCTCTCGAACGACTATTATGTGATTATTTAAAGACTTATTTTTTCTATAATGATAACGATAATAATAATAAGTTAATGCGTAGCGAAGAAACGTTTTATTAAGGCGATAAACTGCGATAACTGCGCATCTTTGGCAAAGACTTACTCCTCGTGTATGAATATGACGTACAGAAGTAAGCGTGCAGCAACAATATTATTGAGAACAAGTGAAATATGTACGAACGGCGAATAAATAAAGAAAACACATGAATCGATGATACGCTTCGATTATGTGTTACCGAAGCTCTCTCCGATTATCAATCCTCAATATTTGATATCCTAAATATTTTTCGATTTTTACATTCATACATTTCTTGTGCGCTTTCTGTTTATTCATTTGGAATATTGATCGACTATTTTTCCTTTTTATCAGTCGCACATGTAATGAGTGGATTTCAAAGTTGAAATAATACTTTTGTTAACTATTTTAAAATTATTTTAAATTAAAATTATTTTAAATTATTTTAAATTAAAACTATTTAAAATTATTTTAAATTAAAATTATTTTAAATTAAAACTATTTAAAATTATTTTAAATTAAAACTATTTAAAATTATACGTAAAGTGCTATATAAAATGCGTTATAAGATCTAAGTATTATATTTTAATTCCGACTAATGCTATATGTACACAAAATTTAAAAAAAAAAATATTAAATATTACTGCATGTGAAAATCGTAGCGAGATTGTCGAATGTGAATACTTTCAAATATCGATAGCCGATACTTCCTCTCGGTCGACAACGAAGCCGCGAGTATCGTTGCCATCTGGTGTCTTTCTCAAAAGCACTAGAACTGGAGAATACACACCTGAGTGGAAATATCAGTTGTCGATACCTTTGATTATTTCTACAAAATTGCAAAAATTCATTTCTTTCTTTTCCACAGCAGGAAACCGGATCTCTTCGTTTTCGAAGACGGAACTTGCTCCCTTATTGACGAGCGATACTTGGATGGTGCGATTATACGACAAAGTCTCCAGCAGAGACAACCGATCGGGTCTTCTGTATCTTCAGGTATGGCAATTGAGGGAATCTTTTGGTCGATACTCTGTTTACCTTGCTCATCTGACGGTGCTACGTAATCGGAAATCAATACATCGTCTTGCTGTTTCGGAAAATAACTATGATCGACTTTTGACTCCGATAATTTATCGGATTGAAAGTTCTTTGCGAGAAAAATCGAATATGGATCTTGCGAAGAATTTTCCTTCGAGTTGTCTGTTTCATTTTTCTTTTGCGATGTGTCATTATCATTCTTAGTATCGGAAGAAAGATCCTTAATATCTTGAATCCACACATTATCCCGATCGTATCGCCTATAAGGATGTTTCCGAGTGATAGCTTGAAGGTTCTCTGTCTTTTTCAGGGCATTTCCGGAGGGAACAAGGGTGGACGAGGACCTCGCAACACGACAATCAATCCTACGATTGCTCCAAGATTGATCAAGGTTTCCATGAGCTTCCCCCGTTAATGAGTCACCTGAACAGCTGGTCGCTTTGGAATCCACTTGACAAGCGCGATTTTCGTAAATGACCTTGGCCGGTTCCAAAGTTTTATTATCATTTGATTGCTTTGAGGCTTTTCTCAGTTTCGAAGAAAATATTCGCACGAACGCCTTCAATCGGGATTTCGAGGACGATTCAGCCTCCTTTTGTTCCTGCGCAACGCAGCATAGGATATCCTCCATAGTATCTTCCAGACCCGAAGTAGCCAGTCTCGTTATACTGGGATGCATTTGCAACTGATGCAATGACTCCACGATCTTCTCCTTCAACTGATCGTTCGTTTCTTCCGTGCAATCAAGATTCTTATCGGGCAACGGATAATCACTCGTATCTTGATGTTTGCTTGAAAGCGCTGCCGATGCTTCGGAAATCGTAAAGGGGAAACGTTCTTGGCTCTTCTTGTTCCTCTTCAACTCGCAGTTCAAGTTAAATGCCGACAAAGACATCCTAGACGGCTCCTGCTTCTTTCGTATCTGAAACGTCAAATTTTCAGATTGCGCGACTTTCCTGAGTTTCAGATTCGAATCAAGGTTCAACTGATCGCCGGTTAATTCAAGATCATCGCCAGCTTGTTGCTTTCTAGCGCTTGTCTCCATTTCTGATGACGGATTCAACTGAAGGTGTTGAATTGTAAACGGGAAGGATGGATCGCACGTTCTCTCCATCGCTAATTTCAAGTGCTCTTTCGTCCGCGAGTATAATTCCTTGGACTTTTCGGCATTCGCGTTATAGTAATCTTTGTCTTTCACGTCTTCGGCATTTTCTTCATCGTTAATAGACGCGCAGTCGTCCTCCGTTCTCCAAGTGACATTCTCCTCTGCATTCCTGAACGATTCACTCCTCTTGTTTTTAAACTTAAATGGCGATTCAGTGGCGCTTGTGACGTCCACGGTATCCGCGCTCTTCCGAGACACGCTGCGATCTGATCTGGATCGCACATCATCATCGATCTTTGCGTAATCGCGATCGCCGGAATAAGCCGCTTTATTAAAGAGCACAGGCGAGTAAATTTTCCCGCCGGATCTAGCCTCCAGGAAACGCGTTCTATCGTAAACATAATCGCCAAACGGAGTGCTTTGAGGATTCGAGGACATTATAAACTCATGATTGTTGGCTTGATATGATGCAAACGTGCCTGATTTAATCTCGATATCTTCGTCATCCATCTTTCTCGATTTCAGCGAAGAATCCTGTTCGCGAACTTGACAGGGCGATGGGTCCATGTTTGATCGTCGACCGACGACGCTTTCGTTTACCTCGCTCCGAACACCATTGTCATGGATAAATTTGACTTCTTCATAATTCTCTGGATATTTATAATATTCCGAAAGTTTATTGGCACTGGAGGTCGATGTAGTCTTATTATCAATTCTGATGGGTATCCTGGAAGGGACGCGCGATAGCGATTTTCTAGGCGAGGATCTTGGTACGCGCCACGTTTCGCCTTTCGCGGGAAAATCCGAAGTCCTGATCAAGGCATCGATCGTATCATTCTCCCCCTGTCTTTTTCTCTTTAAAGATACGTCGGATAAAGCTCTGATCAACGCGTGGGGATCGAGAGGTCGCGTTGCGGAATATTCTTGGCTGCCTGCTGACGTCGAGTACGAAATATCTTGCGAATTTAACGCGAGTGCGGGGACTTTTGTTATGATTTCTTGGTCGCAATTATCCGAGGTATCGACGTCATTATTTGGGGAGCCTCTACTCGAGAGCGCTTCTTTTTGCAAATATATTTTTCCCGTACAAGATGACCGACTGTGACCTTCGCTCTCGAATGCTCCTGAAGCTCGAGACGATAAAGCCTCTTCGAAAGTGTCGCTTTGAATCTTTTCGGCTAAGTGTGGTGTCTCGACGACTTCCTGTGTACGGAGATTCGTTAATCGATTCAATCCTGAAGTATCGAGAACATCTCTGTCAACGTTTCCTGAAGAGTTTAT